ACGTGTTCATGCCAGGCCCTCGGCCCCAATTCTGCCTGGGATGTGACTTCCAGGGATTCGCCGGGGTTTGTCTCACCCACATCACTCAGAAAGGCATCCTCTTCAGCCTTTCTTTCCATCCTCCCGGCGACAAGTTGCCTCTAAGTTTCAGCAGCTCAGGGCTCGCGTTGCCATGCCAACTCCTCCTCCGCAGGCATCCAGGCAGAAATGGGCCGGCCCGATGCAGGTGCCGCTGGTGGATGCAGGCACGCTCAGGTAATTGGATTGGAGCAATCCACGTGGCCTTTCCTGCGGAAACCTGAGGCTTGGCCCAGCTCCGGTGTAGACGTGGGCCTGTGGGCACGGCAAGGACGCGGAGGGGGTCTTTGCTCCAGGACTCCTAGAGCAGGTCCAGCAGGCACGAGGGCAGAGCAAAGGACAGTACAGGAGGGACAGCCCCTCCTGGCCTCACGCCACGGCAAGCCCCAACCTGCATCACTTTGCAGAAGCCCCCAGGCCCAGCGATCCCTAGAAGACGGTGCAGGCTTCCTCAGTGGGGCTGGAGCTTGCCTCGGCCAGCAGAACTAAGTGGTCTGGTTTGCTCACTTTCCCGCCACAGGAGAAATTCAAATTCAAAACCAGTGTCCACCTAGGACCCTTGGAGCCTCTGCGCAGGCAGGGCCTGCGCACCACACGCCTGCCAGGTCCGTTTCCCAGGGAGCTGGGGTGGAGATGTCTGTCTTGATGCCAGTGGTATTTGGCATCCAGTAGCAGCAGTGCTGAGCACCCCAGCCTGGCCAGGCCCGATTCCTGAGGGTGCCCTCCCCCGGTCATGGCAGATCAGCCCTGGGCCCTCAGCTCAGGCCTCTGGGCAACACAGTGGCCCCCCTCCCCTTCCCACGCTGTGGTGCCTGCAGGACCCAGACCAGCAACCAGGTGTCTCGGTGCTGGCGGCTTAACTGCAGCCATCAGTAAGTGGTGGAGGGGCGCCACGCAGAGCTGCTTCCTGGCACTGCCCCACGCCTACCAGGGTGGCCGGGGTTCTGGCCTCCTGGGTCCTGCCTAGGACTTGTCCACCTCTTCCCCTCCCATCTAGACTTAGGGTTGTGTGGGTGCCAGAGCCTGGGCCCCGAGGAAGCACATCCTGCCCTGGCCACCTCTCTGAGGACTCAAGGATTCCCTGAGCAGTTGCCAGCCTCTAATGTCTAGCTCTCCTCTTTCATGGGGAAAGTAATTAATGTGTTGTTGACTGTTTACCCTCCTTCCATTTCGCTGAGACAAAATAATTAACCACAGAGCTTTAGAAACTGGCCCCATCGGTGGCAATCCCTTTTGTGTCTCCTGTGTCAGCAGCTTCTGTGCGGAGTTGTGGGGGCCATACGTGGGAGCAGAGCAGGTGGGCAGCACCTGGGAGGGCACCTCCTGTCCAGGGGGTCTGGACAGGGACACGGGGGCAGCAGGAAGGGCCGGGATGCTTGGGTCTGCCACACTCTAGAGGATCACTGTGGGGCCACCTCAAATCCCATCAACGCCTGGATGGGGACCAGAGACATTCCTCTGCCCAGCCCAGGAGAGGCAGAAAGCTCCGGCCTGGCCACTCGCTGCCACTGCAGGCAGGACAAACAGGAGCTTGCCCAGAGGGTTTCTGGGGTCACAGCAGGAGTGAGGGGCACACGGGGCAGCTGAGGAGGGAGTCTCTCTCCTACGCTCCCCAGTAGCCCTGTCCCAGCTAATAGTAGACCCCAACCCTCATCAGCTAGTGTTGGGGACAAGCCACACAAGAGAATGGAAGGTTTGAGGACTTCCTCTCAGGGACCCTTTGATGAAGTGAGGCCACATCCGCCTCTGACCCATGACAAAGCCCAGCTGCCCTGTGGGACCCGGGTCAGGTCTGCTTGGAGGGCAGCATGGTGCAAACAGGACAGACCCACCCCTCCAAACCCTTTCTCCAGAGATGTCACAGCCAGGGCTCAGCCTGCGCAGCCCACGCCACTGCCTTAGATCGGGCCTGACTCCCGACGCAGTGGCGGAGCTCCTCGGGGCCACACAGCCCCACCTGCTCCACCTGCCCAGCCTCTGTCACCCCTGAGGCAGCAGGGTCCATTCATTCCTCAGCCGGTCACTTGTTCATTTGCTCTTTCCCGTCCCAAGACGGGGGCCACACCCTGGGCTCAGCCATAAACCGACATGTGTCCTATTGGCACCCACGGCCCATTAGGAGGCCCAGACGTTAAACAGCCCCAGCTCTTGGCAGGATGACAGCACAGTGTGGAGAGGCTTTCGGGGGTCACAAGCTGCCTTGGATGGGGTCAAGGAAGACCTCCCTGAAGAGGAGGCACCTTGGCTGAGCCCCGAGCCATGAGGAGCGTCCGGCAGAGAGCCCGGCAGGTGCACAGGCCACCGGGGTGCCGGAGCCCCTTCTGCCAGTGGAGTGCAGTGGGGGGATGAGGGACGAGCTGGTGGGGCGGGAGCACAAAGGGCCCCTGCACAGAGATCGGGAGACTGGACTCTGTCCCCTGGGACAGTGGGACCACCAGAGAGAAAGAATCAAACGTGTTTAGGAAGCTCCTTCTGAGCACTGGGCAGCGGGTTCGGGGCTGTGGCTGACACTGAGGACAGCAGCACGGCGCTGGGTAGGGGGACCTCAGGGGAAGACAGTGCTGGCAGGCCAGGCTGGTGACCTCAGTCTGCAGAGATGAGGGAGACTCGGGAGAGGGCCCGCCCTATGACACTGGGGCGACATCCAGGTGGCCCAGGTATCTGGCCTGGACCCCTGCTTTAGGACCTTGGTGCCAACTGCAGGGACTACTGGGGGCTAGGGAGCCTTGAGAGACCCTATCCTGTCCCCCCTGCCCCCACTGGCCTGGTCCCAGCTGGCCTGGCAGAGACACAGGTCCCTGTGGGCTGCCCCATGTCCTCTCACTGCACCAGCACCACACACGAGGCCTGCGAGCCTGCTGAGGGCGGCCAAGCCCCCAGCCTGGGTGGGAGAGTGAGTCGCTGTCACTCCCACTGCAGGCTTGATGCTCTCACAGCAATCGCTGGGGTTTGATAGAAAGAACGAGGGAGCAGACGTCCTGGAGTCTCCCGAGCCGGAGGGCAGGCGGGGAGGGCCTGGACTCCCCATCCCTGCTGAGCACCGAGCCATGAGCGCTGGCCACGGAGTGAGACGGCACAGGTCCCAGATTTCACCAAGGCCCAGCAAAGAGTTCAGTCCCCTGGGCTCCGTCTAGGTGGCTCGCTGGGGTCTGCATAGGCACACCGCTGCCTGGAACTGGTGACCTTCCAGTACTCGCGTCAAAGTGATCTCCCCTGGAGAAAGCAAGATCCTTGTGAAACGCGTTCATCAGCCAGACACAGCCTCAGCTTAGGTTCATCTTTACACACTGAGCCCGGAAGATGGTGGCTGCAGGGGTGTGCTCGGGCCATGACATGCCTCACAGCTCGGGCTGGCAGGAAAATAGCCACCTCCTCTCTGGCCAGAGGCACCAGCCCCACCTCCCCTCCCTCCCCCTGCAGGGCACCTCTGCTGCCCCTTCTTGCCAGATGCTCCCAGCCTGCTGGGCAGGCAGACATGGTCCGAAGCATCTGGGATATAGACCAGTGGGCCACTCCCAAGGGGACGGGCCCGTGGTGGAGGCACCTAAGCCACCTGGGCAAGGGGGAGGCCCAAGTTCCTCTCTGAGGAGGTGACTTCTAAGCCGAGTCTTAAAAGAGAAAGGGTGAGCAAGGCCGCAGAGGGCAGAGGGCCAGAAACGGCAGACGAGGACAGGACAGTGTGTGAGAGGCGAGCACCCGGGGAAGGGCCAGGGGTACCAGAGGGTTTGAGGCGGCCTGGATGTGGCAGACAGAGGATGGACACCCCTCCAGCCGTCGTGGAGGCGGGCGGCTGACAAAGTTCGTGAAGCGTGCCACAGGCCCGGGCCAGCACGGGGCAGCAGGGACTGATGGGGGGAGGAGGAGGAAGGGTGTGGGGCAGGTGCCGGGGCAGGAGCGGGGCTGTGTCCAGATGGTGGGCGGGAAATAAGCAGCCCACTCCCTGGGGCAGGAAAAATCTAGTTACGCTCATACACGCTTCCACAGAGTGACCCCCACAGTCCCCAGAGGCAGGGCAAACACTCCAGACTCTTGTCTTTACTGATTTTACGTTCAGCACAATAAAGGCACCTGGTGGCCTCACCTGAGCAGAGCTCTGTGCCTGCTCTGAGACCCACTGTGGCTCCTGCACAGCCAGGGACGGGGACCCAGGGTGGACTTGCTCAGGTGGGCCTCGCTTGGGCTGCATCTTGGAGGTCACGCGGGAGAGTGGTTACAGCTTGGCTCAGACCCGCACAGCCCCAGGGAGCTTCTCCAAAAGTCACAAGGATTGTTCGGGCAACTCTGCCTGGATCCTCTCTGGGGGGCGGGAGGCAGAGGGGTGGGAGTGCCGGGCTTGCCGCTACAGGCAGGGCCACAGCCAAAGCCAGGCTGCGTGGGGGACGTGTGCGCCCTGGGGCCCTGACAGCCACACTGCCCTTTGCTCCAGGACTCTCTGGCCCCTTTACTCTGCTGTTTGTTCACGCTCTGTCCTGACCTGGTTGGCACTCAGTGACAGGTGGCTGTGATCGTGGCCCCTCTGACCCAAGGTCACCTGCCTGCCCATTCCAAACATAGCTCTGGCTCCTGATGGGCAGTCTCTAGGGTCCCCAGCCCGGCCCCCATGTGTCCACAAAGCTGTGCCCCTCTGAAAACCAGAGCAATTTTCCAAGAAGTTAGGTTATAAGGTGAAGATGGTCAGTCAGGGACAGTCATGCCACCAAGCTGTTTACTCCAAGAGAACAAAACACACACAGGAAACAGAGTGAGCTGGTGCTGTCTCCGGGCCCCCAAACGCCAGTGGGAGCCCACTGGCTCTGGCCTGGTCTCAGAACAGCACTGCTCATGTCGTAGGAAGCAGGAACGGGGTGAGCTGGGACAACAGCCCCAGTGTCCTACCTGCTTCTCCGAAGGTCACCAAAGCCCCTCACTTTCTGTCTCCGCAGGTTCTCCCGCAGGCGTTGGCGGCCCAGCATGGCCCACTGAGGTGAACCATGACGGGCTGGCCCCCACGCGCCGCTGACCATCCAGAGTCACATCTCACCAGGAGGTGACCCTCCTCCGGCTGTCCCCCCAACTCGCCCACCCCCGCCAGGAAAGTGCCCGCACCTGCCACGGACACCATGTAGGAGGGCTGGCCGCGGCGCCCAGTGAGCTGCGATGGTTTTGTACACGACCCCCTTTCCTAACAGCTGTCTGTCCGCCCTGCACTGTGTGTCCTGGGCCCTCATCTTCCCATGTTACTGGCTGCTGGACCGGCTCCTGGCCTCCTTCAAACCCACCACCTACGAGAAGCGCCAGCAGGCGGACGACCCGTGCTGCCTGCACCTGCTCTGCACCATCCTCTTCACGCCCGTCTACCTGGCCCTCCTGGTGGCCGCACTGCCCTTCGCGTTGGTCGGGTTCCTCTTCTGGTCGCCCCTGCAGTCCGCCCGCCGGCCCTACGTCTACTCACGGCTGGAAGACAAGGGCCTGGCCGGCGGGGCAGCCCTGCTTGGTGAATGGAAGGGAACAGGGGCCGGCAAAAGCTTCTGCTTCGCCACCGCCAACCTCTGCCTCCTGCCCGACTCGCTCGCCAGGCATAACAACCTTTTTAACACCCAAGCACGGGCCAAAGAGATAGGGCAGAGAATCCGCAACGGGGCCGCCCGGCCCCAGATCAAAATCTACATCGACTCGCCCACCAACACCTCCATCAGCGCGGCCAGCTTCAGCAGCCTGGTGTCTCCGCAGGGCGGAGACGGAGTGGCCCGGGCCGTCCCCGGGACCATCAAGAGGACGGCCTCTGTGGAATACAAGGGTGATGGCGGGCGGCACCCCAGTGACGAGGCTGCCAACGGCCCGGCCTCCGGGGAGCCGGCTGACGGCTGCGGCCTCGAGGACGCCTGCATCGTGCGCATCGGTGGCGGTGGCGAGGATGGGGGCCGGCCACCTGAAGGCGATGACCCTGCCCCTGGGAGCCAGGCCCGAAACGGGGCTGGCGGGGGCCCGAAGGGCCAGACACCCAACCACAGTCAGCGGGACGGGGACTCGGGGAGCCTGGGCAGCCCCTCAGCCTCCAGGGAGTCCCTGGTGAAGGCGCGAGCCGGTCCGGACGGCGGCAATGGGGAGCCGGGTGCCAACAGCAAGCTCCTGTACAAGGCCTCGGTGGTGAAGAAGGCGGCCGCACGCAAGAGGCGGCACCCGGACGAGGCCTTTGACCATGAGGTCTCAGCCTTCTTCCCCGCCAACCTGGACTTCCTGTGCCTGCAGGAGGTGTTCGACAAGCGGGCGGCCACCAAGTTGAAAGACCAGCTGCACGGCTACTTCGAGTACATCCTGTACGATGTCGGGGTCTACGGCTGCCAAGGCTGCTGCAGCTTCAAGTGTCTCAACAGCGGCCTCTTCTTTGCCAGCCGCTACCCCGTCATGGACGTGGCCTATCACTGTTACCCCAACGGGCGGAACTCCGATGCCCTGGCCTCCAAGGGAGCTCTGTTTCTCAAGGTAGGAGGCCTCGGCCTGGCCTGAGGACCACGCGCCAGACAGTCCCAGAGCCCTGTAGGGAGTCCTCACCCTCGGGGGTGGGGCTGGAGTGGGAGGCCAACAAGGCCTTGCAGGGAGCTGCGCAGGAGGCCCCCGCTCGGGGACAAGGGAAACACAAACGTAGGGACAAGAACCACGACTCTGGGCACAGACAGAACAAGCGGGGTGATCATGGACCAGTTCCTCAGATCTCTGAGCCACCATTTCCCCATCTGCAAAATGGGGACAGGGTGGGAGTGGACCAGAGCCGTGAGGCCTCTGATAGTGCAGGTGGCAATGGTGGCCGTGGCGATGGTGGCAGTGATAAGGGGAGGAAGAGGAGGAGGAAGGGGCCTTCTCAGTTCATAGGAGGCAGTGAGACTAGTGTGGAGCAAGCACAGTAGGCAGAGATGGGACTCCCAGTCCCCAGGCCCATTCCCGCGCTTGTGTCACTGAGGCCATCAGCTTCACTGGCCTGGACGCCCCTCCCTCCTGGCTGTCATGCAGCTGCCATGCCAGGCTCTCTGCCCACCAGCCTGTGGCTTCACTTCCATAGTCACTAATTAAAGTGAATCATAATTATTTCTGCTAATTTGGATGCAACTGGAGGAGTTTTTAGACCGTGGTAATTTGGTCATTACACATTGAGCCTGAGACGCTGAGCGTCGACTTTTGTTCTCTATCCAAAAGCCGCTCTTGGTGCTTCCAGAGTTTTCTGAAGCATCGTTTGGCCAGTGGATGCAGAACAGGGCCTTCTGCTCCCAGAGGCAGCAGCTGCTTCGGGTGGGGGTTCTCTCCCTTGGAGGTGAGACACAAAAAGGGGGCTCAGCAGGGAGGGCTGTGGCTCCAGGGCCCACCTGGGGGGTTTCCCTCACTTCTCAGCTCCCCTCCAGGAGCGGCCGTGCTCAGCTGCCCTGGGGAAATGCTGGCGTGTGCGCCCAGCGCCCGCCAGGAGTAAGGGCTGGTGTCTCCTCCGAGACACCGGGCAGGCTCCTGAGGGCCCCGGCCCCCTGCTCCGGGTCGCTCGATGGCTCTGCCAGGCCCAGAGTTGGGGCCCTGGCTCTTCATTCACAGCAAGAGACGCTGACACTGAATTAACTCCTGTGACAGATAGATCCAGCCTTCCTATTTTGGCATATGGTTCGTTGGTGTTCTGTTCCATGGATATATTTTCGTCTCGGCAGCGGCAGTGCCTTTCTGGGGAAGAAGGGGATGTGTTATGAGGCCCAGGGTGGGAGGGTGCGGCTTCTAACTCCCACCCCATTGCTGACTGCTCAGAGGCCAGGGACCTCCCTGGGCCCCCCACCCCCCTGTGCAGGCCAATCCACATGTCCCCCTCCCTTCCTGGCACCCTGACCACTGTTCCCACCAAGGTCAGCGACAGTCTCCTTGGGATAGCCCCTCCTCTCCAGCTCTGCCCTGGACGTTCTTTTTCATCTTCTACCTCTTGGATCTCAAACTGGTCTGCAGCTATGTTTAATTTGGTGCATGCCATTAAACACTTTTCTTTGTATGGGCCAATATTTCAAAATCAAGATATTTCACATAAAACCCAGTTTGTAGCTTCTCTTGGCAGCTCCAGCCCTGCTGCATCCCACAGTGACCCCGAGCTGGGGGTTGGCCACCCCACTCAGCCAGCTCTCTTCATGTGCAGGTGGCCATCATGGCCCCAGTGAGTGCAACTCCATAGCCCCCACGTCTGCCCCTGCCGATGGCCCTCAGCCTGTCCCCGCCCAGATCCCTCCCCTGACCCCCAGCCCTGCATCTGCTGCCTCCTGGACACGTCCCCCACTCGCTCCAAACCAAAGTCACCATCTGCCCCGACCTGCCCCTCTCCCCGTTCCGCCAACCCTAAGCCAGAAGGACACCTTGGCTGCTCTGTGGCCCAGGCCCAGCCTGTCCATCCCAGCCTTTCATGTCACTCTCCGGTCACCCAGGGTCCACCTGCACCCACCTCTCCAACTGCACCATTCCTCTGCATCAGCCCAACTGTGGTTTCAGTGTCCTGCCCCTGCCTCTGGCCTCCTCCCATGCCAGGTCCAGCTCCCCTCCACCCTCAGCCTGAGCCCTGCACCAGCCACACACCCCCGCCAGGGCCCCCACACCCCAGGCCCCTGCTTGTCTTGGTCTCACCCTGGGCTTGGGCGAGCCACCCCGTGGAACTCTCCTCAGCGCCGCCCAGCATGAGCCGGTCTTTGCTTCACGGGCTCCTCGGCCCAGTGCCCGGGAGTCTTGCTGCCCGTCTGTCCCATCAGACAGAGCTCCTCGAGAGCAGCGCTGACCCCAGTGCGTCTCTGTTGGCCGAGTGCATGACTGTTTCTCCTGCCAAGGAGGAGGGACTACAGGAGGCCACAGCAGGGACAGGCCCAGCCAGAGAGGGTCCAGGACGCGGCGAGAACGCTGCCACTGCTCACTCGCTGTGTGTGGAAGGCAGCGGTCCCTGCCCCCCTGGTCACTGTGTGGTACTTCGGGTCCTTTAGGAAATGCGACTCTGCGCAGGAAGGAGCTGGAATCCCTTCTGCCCCACGTGCAGCCTAATTGCAGGCACCTGCTTTGTTGACAGTCTTTGCCCACCAGGACTGAAAGGCACAACCTCTCGGTGTGATTGTTTGTTTTCGCAAGAGAAACACAGGCCTCTGCGGCTCCTGAGCCCACGAGCCAGGAATCGATAAGTTCCAGCAAATAATAAAGTGGCTCTTGGCGAGATCACATGCCGATTAGGAGGGAGAGGTGGGGGTGACAAGAGGCAGCTCCGGCCTGTGTGTCTCCCTCGGGCAGGTCCTCCTCGCTGCAGGGCAGAGTCCACACGCATCCCCGTCCCTGCCCAGAACTCAGCACAGGGAGGTGACACTAAGTACTGAGTGAGAGGGTGACACATTAAGACCAACAAATGGGCGGCTGGGGAGAAGCAAAGATGCCAGCGGGTCGGACACCACGTGGCACAGACAGACAGATCCGATCTGAACCTGCCTTTGGTACCATCGGCCTTGTGACACTGGCCATGACTTTTCTTGTGGCCCCAATGTGTGCATCTATAAAAATGGCATAAATTGAGCATAATCTCAGTCGTCGTAAGGACCCAGTGAGGTAATGTCCCTGAAGCATGAAGCATACATAAGTGCTCCCGTGTGAATATTATTATTATTATTGAAGAGGAAACAGGCCGGCTGCCTGAGGAGCACAGCGGGTGAGAGCGCCATCATGTGGCCTTCGTGAGCATTGTGGTTCTAAAAATGTTTTTGCAGCGGGATGCAGCGATGGTCTGTGACGTCACAGCACCATTCTGGGGGTGGCGGATATCATTAGCCTGAAATTTGGGTCTGGTATATGGGCAAGGAGTGAATGGCGAACCCGTGGGCTTAGAAACAGCCCCAAATGCAGGCCAAACAGCCCGTTGTCAAATAGCCAGACATTCATCCCCGTGGTCTGGGGAAGGCGAGGTGCACACCTGGGCCTGGAAGGGCAGGAGGAAGGGCTGGAGAGCCGGGAGTGTTTGCGATGAGAAAGTCCGGGTGGTGAATAACACCAGCCGACTGCAGCAGCAAAAAGAAAGAGGCGACTGAGGCTCCCTGGAGCAGATGGGTTGTGCGCAGCTGCTGCTGTCCAGGCCGCTGTGAGTCCACACGTGTGGGGCTGCCACCTCCTGTGTGGCCCTCGGCCAACAACTGGGACAGGCAGCCTGGCCTCACAGGCCACCTCCCCCGAGAGCACCCTGGGTCTAGGGTCTTAGCGTCACAGAAAATCCAGTCTGGGATGGATTAGCAAGGTTTGGGGAAGAAAGCCTACAGATGAGGGGACGAGGGCCCAGCAAGGATCTCCAGCAGCTGTGTGACAACCAGAGGGCCCAGGAAAGCCCCCCACGCCCGGGGCCATCGCTTTGTGACCACCCCCAGCTCCCCCAACTGCAGTGCTGACAAGGGCTAAGCCCTGCCCTGGGGGTCCCACCCTGTGGGGCCAGTTTAGAGTTGTCTGTGGGGTACAGTTGAGTTGCTTGTTTGTGTTAAGCCAACCTTTGGAGACAGCCTGCCAGGGCTACCTGTTGGGGCTGCCAGGGGTAGGAGCACCCTCTTTGGGGAAGAGGTGAGCAGAGAGGGAGGACAGAGTCTGAGGACAGGGGAGGATGGAGGCTGGGCTCAGGATGGGGGCCGTGGGTGTGCACAGGGCCAGCCCAAGGCACGGGGCCTGGAGCCCCAAAGACACAGGCCACAGCTCTCGCCCAAGACTCGGGACTACAAGGCCCACAGCCTAGCAAGCAGATGAGGCGACTTATCATGCGTGTGATTTACCACAGAGCCAGAGGGGCCAGGGTGGGGGCATAGCAGAGGGCCGCGGGGTCTGGAGGGAGGTCGTCCCACTGAGGTTTCAGAGGGAAGGTGTACCAGGGCATGACCAGGTCTAGGCTGTAACAGAGCGGGGAGGGAGGAAAGAGTCGCCAGGCAGGAGTGGACAGGAACTGAGGGTCACACATGTGGACACTCTGGTCACCCGGAGATGGCAGGGGTGGGGAGGAACTCTGCCGTGGATTCTGCATTTCCCCCCACGAGGCCTTGCATGGGTCGCCATTGGCACTCACCATGCCATAGGCTGCTTTTTTTGTTTGTTTTTTTTTTTTTTTTTTTTTGAGACAGAGTCTCACTGTGTTGCCCGGGCTAGAGTGCCGTGGCATCATCCTAACTCACAGCAACCTCAAACTCCTGGGCTCAAGCGATCCTCCTGCCTCAGCCTCCCAAGTAGCTGGGACTACAGGCATGCGCCACCATGCCCGGCTAATTTTTTCTATATATTTTTAGTTGTCCAATTAATTTCTTTCTATTTTTAGTAGAGACGGGGTCTCGCTCTTGCTCAGGCTGGTTTCGAACTCCTGAGCTCAAACAATCCACCCGCCTCGGCCTCCCAGAGTGCTAGGATTACAGGCATGAGCCACCGCACCCGGCCTGTTCGTTTGTTTTTAATGCCTCTGCCTCCCACAGTGGGCTGTCAGCTCCTAGAAGCAGGACACGTCCTGTCCTTACCAGGGCCCGAGTCTAGCCAGGAGCCTGGCACAGAGCAGGGCTTGTGAGGGTTTGACCTGGTGAGCGGGTGGGAGTTGCCAGTGTCCCTTTGCACTCAGGGCAGTGGTCACTGGTGGGTGGTGGCACTGACACCTCCCCTTCCTCCAGGTGCAGGTGGGAAGCACACCTCAGGACCAAAGAATTGTCGGGTACATCGCCTGCACACACCTGCATGCCCTGCCAGGTAGGGTGGCCGGCCCACAGTTTTCTGGGGGTGGGGCCTGGCTGGGATCTGGCCGTGAGCATCATCGGCCGGTCCCTGTGCTTCTGCCCTACAGAGGACAGTGCCATCCGGTGTGAGCAGCTGGACCTGCTTCAGGACTGGCTGGCTGATTTCCGAAAATCTACCTCCTCGTCCAGCGCAGCCAACCCCGAGGAGCTGGTGGTGTTTGACGTCATCTGTGGAGATTTAAACTTTGACAACTGCTCCTCTGGTGAGGTCATGCTCCTCCCCACTCCGGCCTGCTACTCAGGAGGGCGTGGGCTCCAGTCACAGCTAGGAAAACCTGGGTTAGGCAGCTCGAAGAACTTCCTCCTGTTCATGAGAGCGTGGGTGGGATATTTAGCAAGACTATGATTTCTCTGCCCCCCCCCCCCAAAATCCTGGAACAGGAATTGCCCACAGTCTGCCTAGAAAGCTCAGAGGCCTCCTTGCTGGAGACAAAGACATGCCCTAAAAATGACCCTCTGCCAAGGAAGGCTTGGGGCCTCTGACACTCAGACTGAGGGAGAGTCCACTAACAATCCTCAGCAAGTTTTTTTTTTTTTTTGAGACACAGTCTTGCTCTGTCACCTGGGCTAGAGTGCTGTGGCATCAGCCTAGCTCACAGCAACCTCAAACTCCCGGGCTCAAGCGATCCTCCTGCCTCAGCCTCCTGAGTAGCTGGGACTACAGGCATGCGCCACCATATCTGGCCAATTTTTTCTATTTTTGGTAGAAACAGGGTTTGCTCAGGCTGGTCCTGAACTCCTGACCTTAAGCAATTCTCCCACCTCAGCCACCCAGAGTGCCAGGATTACAGGCGTGAGCCACTACACCCGGCCCTCAGCAAATATTTATTCATCTCTTAATTTTTGTCAGGCATGATTCTAACTGCTCTTCCATTAAGTCCGGTAACAGCCCTAAGAGGTAGGGCTGTACCATCCACGTGATGTGGAAGAGCAGGCTGAGACCCAGAGAGGTTGAATACCCAGCCCAAGGTCGTCACAGCCAGTAGATGTCTGAACTGGGATCCGAATCATGGGCACCATGCCTTAAACCATTTGGCGAAAAGACTATAAAGTTCATCATTGGTGCAATTTTGAATATTTGATTTAAATAACTGGCCTGTGAATCAGATGACTATGCTGATCTTACAGGGACCTCCTGGGGGTTTGAGCAGCTCTGAGCCTCCCGTGACCCTGAGGAGCCAGGTGTTAGGGAAACCCCAGCCTATGGCTCCTGTGCTCCTTCCACACCGGCCACAGCCCCCAGGGGACCGCGAGTGGGCTGGGACGATGCAGGGCCCTCGCTCAGGCCCTAGACCCCAGCGAAGGCTGGACACTTGAAGGCCTCACCTGGAGCACAGGGTGGTGCCCTCACCTGGGGGCAGCATGTAGCAGCAGTTCTGTTCACGACCCGGGAGGCATTTCTTGACAACAGTGGCGACTCCACGGTGAGCAGGGAGAACGGCGCTCCCACCCTGGAACACGCAGGACCACCAGAGTGAGGAAGACCTTCCACTGCAGCCGTGCAGGGCCGCAAGGCCATCAGTCCCCACATGCTGGCTCCTGCCCCAGCACCATGTCCCTGTGGTCCCGTCACAGTCCCATGCATGATGCCAACTCCAAATACTGGGCACTTCCGGGATCCTCCTGCAGCAGAGTGGGGACCGAGTACTCACAGGAAGAAGCTGTGGGGAGGGGGGTCCCACCCAGTCAGGCCCCACCCAATGCCCTCTGCTTCCCACCCTCCTCGATAAGTTGACCGGACAAACAGGAATCCAGGGCAGGTGACCTCCCTCTCTGAGCCTTGTGGGGTCCCCTCTTCTTGGGCCCGGGGCGCCCAGGTCTGTGAAGGGGGCAGGAGGCCCCCACAAGGGGCTCCATAGGATTGGAGAAGGCCTCGAGGTCACTGTCCCTGGAGCCCCAGAGGGAGAGGTGAAGATTAGAGTGCTGGGGGGCATTTCTCAAGGATGTGGAAACACAGGGAGAGATGAGCCACAGGCCCCACCTAGAGGCAGTTAGCTCAGGGACAGGGCCCTGGGGGCTCTGTAGGAGTAACTGACTGGAACCAGGGTGGTCGGCCCTTCGCACAGCCCAGCCCCCCTGACCGCCACAGCATTGTCTTCTCCCCGCACAGACGACAAGCTGGAACAGCAGCACTCCCTGTTTACACGCTACAAGGACCCCTGCCGCCTGGGGCCGGGAGAGGAGAAGCCGTGGGCCATCGGTAAGCTGGGGCTGGGGAGGGTGGAGTGGAGGCTGCGCTCTGCACGGGCTTCCCTTGAAGGCCACCAGGACCTGCCCCAAGGCCCCACCACTGGGGAAGGCCCAGTCAGCCGCCCAGGCTAGCGGAAGCCCTTGCCCACCCCACGGGAGCCACCAACCTGGAGGTTGCCTGGGTCCTGCCTGCAGTGACCCCTCTCGTCCCCTCCTCCCCAGGTACCCTGCTGGACACCAATGGCCTCTACGATGAGGATGTGTGCACCCCTGAGAATCTTCAGAAGTAAGTACCGCGCTGCTGCAGGCGGGTGGGGGGCCTCCAATCCAGATCAGCTCCCAGGTTGGGGACAAGGAACCGAAGCCCCCCAGGCAGTGGAGAGACAGGGGCTGGGGCGGGAGCCAGTGAGAGCCTCTGCTGGGTGGGAACCTGCTCCTCATCCTGCCTGGGAGAGCTGGGAGAGCTGGGAGAGCTGGGAGCTGGGCCGGTGGGTGGACCTCACGCCCCCACACCTAGGGCACTGGCTTTGCTAAGACTTCTCCAAGCAGCCAGGGGTCTCCAGGGGGCATGTCCTAAGCCAGCAGTCAGTCTGGGTCACTATGCTGGAGCCCCCCCTGCCCTAGGCCCGGCCTGCCTTTGGGCCCTGCCGGGTACAGGGAAGGGACCAGAATTTCCCAGAGCCAGCCCAAGGGTCAATCCCTGCAGATAAGCCGTGGGGTATGGCTTCTGCCGAAGGGAGCCCAGCAGTTTGTACCAATTAGGCAAATAAAATACCAGCAGAGATAACACAAGCCAATCATTCTCGAAGTAGAGACAGTTCCATTCCAGCCACACTTCATTCTGAGCCCAATGAGACTTCCATAAAGGACATATTTGAGCCCAATAGCAGAACCAATTTATAATTCACAGCCCAAGATTGCACAGAGTCACGGTGATGGTTCTTTGCAGCTAATCTAAGCCAATTAATTAGATTATAGACTAAATTTGAAACATCATCCTATGCCGAGAAAATTATCTTTTTATGAGATGATTAAAAAATGACTATCAGTAAGTCTCAGATCATTGATGCTGGAATTAATTATCAAAGGCAAAAGACAGTAATGGATTATACTTCTGGGCTATAACAACGTCTGAATGTCATTAGTGTATTTATCTTAACGCTGATAAAAACCTTGTAGAAACCATGTTTGCTGGCCTCGCCCTCTGGGCGCCCCTTTTGGTCTGTCCAGGCCTTAACCCATCTGGCGGCCTGCGCGGTGACTCTGGTGGCTGCACCTCCTGCCCCAGACACCAGCGCAAGCCTGCCCTCTGTGATGGGGGGTCCCAAGGGGGCCTTAGCCGCCTGCCCAGTGGTGCTCAGACCCCAGGGGACAGGCCAGCTGGAGGGAGATGGACGCACTGTGTGTCCCAGGGCAACGATGCCAGAAAGAGCATCAGAAGACCAGGATTCAGAGTGTCACATGCCCCAGCCAGCGCCTCACCTCCTTGCAGAGCCTTGCACGGCTCTCAGCACCCACGTGAGACTGCTTGCTCTGAGAATGGGACAGCCTGTTCCCTGACGTGTCTTGAGGCCCACAACAACCATTTTAGTTTCTGAGGAGAGAATGGAGGCTTGGGACAGGGTCGCACAGCCACTGAGGGACAAAACCACACGAGAGTTGAGTCCTCGGATGGGGCGTGGGCACTCCCCTGGCTCCCTCACCCGCCGCCAGGAGGAAACAACAGTCATAGGGGGTGTTCAGGGGATTCCAGGAGCGAAGGGTCCCCGAACCTCACAGCAAAGACCAAGTTCCCCAAAACAGGCCCCTGTTGGCTCAGAGCAGAAGGCCGTTCTGGAGAGCAGGCAGGGGCTGTCGTGTCTGATCCAGCCACAGCCAGGAGAGTTCAGAAAGGGAAACTGAGTGCTGGCCAGCCCAAGGTGGACACGGGACAACATGTGATTGGCCCCGGAGTGCCCGACTCAGCCAGGAACTTGCAGGCTCTGACTCGGCTTCTCTCCGGCTGGGCCCTTTTGGACCCACGGGGAGGACAGATCTTAAACCCAGAGGTCTGGCCTGACCCACCCTCCCCCACTTTGGGAAGAGACCAGAGCCCCACATTCAGGACTTGCCAGGCCCCGGGGCTGGCGTTGGGGGCTCACCTGGCTGCGCGTCTGTGTGCACAGGGTCTTGGAGAGCGAGGAAGGCCGCAGGGAGTACCTGGCGTTTCCCACCAGCAAAAGCCCGGGCCAGAAGGGGCGGAAGGACCTGCTGAAGGGCAACGGCAGGCGCATCGACTACATGCTGCACACCGAGGAGGGGCTGTGTCTGGACTGGAAGGCGGTGAGTCTGGGACGGGGCCCAGGCGGCCAGGGCTGTGCCCGGGAATGGCGGAACCCTGAGCCTGCAGCTCACCATGGCACCGAGTCTCCCTTGAGACCCCACCCCCCAGGCTACTCTCTTTGAAAACGAGACCTGTCGTCCCTCGTCCCTCAGACCTGTAGGGCCCCGGGATCCTCCAGGTCTCCCCACCCCACCTTCGGGAAGACCCGTGCCAACCCCAGACCAGAGGCATCACACCCGGGACCCCCAGGCTGCCACCCCTCCCCTCAAGGCCCCCCCTTTTAGGACACCCTCTGGGCCTAATCAGGATGCTTCTCCCCTCCCCCACGCAACCCAGGAGGTGGAAGAATTCAGTTTCGTCACTCAGCTGTCCGGCCTGACCGACCACCTCCCAGTGGCCATGCGGCTGATGGTGTCTGCAGGGGAGGAAGAGGCGTAGACCAGCCACATCGCCGCCCGCCGGCATCCGGAGCTGCGAGGCCTCTGCCAGCCCTCTGAGCCGCAGCCCATCCCTGGGCCACGTCCCCTCAGTGCTGCGGGGAGGAGGGCAGGAACCAGGAGGGAGCCGGTCAGGGACCGGGAGCCTGGAAGCAGCGCTGCTCTGGGCCCTCGCTGCGGACAGAGGAGTCAGGCTGGCCCGGGGAGCCCCCCAGCTGCCTAACCAGTGCCATTCTTTCAAAACGTGATTTTCTACAAATCTACAGCACAATCTAGTTTGTAACCCGGGGGTTAGTATAAGGACCGGGTTTATGTACTCTTTGTATCTCTTCTTAAGCTTCGTCCAGGGTTCATTATTTTTGTCTGCTGCCAATGTTGTCTCGCATGCCTGCACCCTCGCATGCACGCTGCCTGCATGCCACGTGCCACGCTGTAGCCACACAGACCCCTTGCTCGGGCCTCACCCAAGGCCAAACTCCAAACGCAATCAGAACCAGCCAAAGAAGCACTTCCTGGGCACGGCCGCCAGCTCTCCCGCTCCAGCCTGGGATGGCTCACCGCAAGGACCTGAGGGCTGTCTCTCTACTGCCAGCCCAGGGCTCTTCCCAGGGTCTTGCATTCAAGGGCGATTACATTTTAAAAAGAAAAACAGTTAAGTTAAAAACAAAATCAACCCTTCACTTCAAAGGGTCTGCAAGTCACTCACAGAACTTTGCTCTTCCTGAAACAGGGTCCCTTCCCGCCCAGGCATGCCAGGGTCCAGCTGGCTCTGGCCGCCATAAAGCCTCCTCTGGGAGACTCGGGTCTGGGCAACGGAGCCATAAACGGGGAATCCGAGAGAGCACCCGCTTTTTTTACAGGAAGAAGGGGACTCAGCATAAAGGGGGGTGGGAGGGCCTCATTTTGAAAATGACAGATTTGTAACTTCTCTTCTATCAAAACCAACACATCCTCTTCTTTCTACCCTCCGGACACCTCTCTGGTTTGGGACCAATCCTTCCCTGGGGACTGTCCCCACCCACGTGCCGGCTGAGCTCAGGAACCGCCTGCCTGCCCCCAGGTGGGGCTGCAACTCTGGCCCCCCAGGCCCATCCTCAACAGCTACCCCAGCCAACGCCAAGGCTCTGAAAGCGCAGGATGCCAAGGTGTGGAGAGGGCCTGTCCCCTCACCAGTGTGCAGGCTGGGGTGGCAAGGCCGACAGCCACTGCTTGCCCGGGCAGGGAGTGGTACTGGTTGGCATCCAGGCACAAAGCCACCCTGCTACTGTGCCTCCCGGCTCAGCGTGGCAGAGCTGGCCAACAGCCCACGGTCCCCCATCTGCCTCCAGGCCTGGGGGAGGCCTGCAGCTCTCAGGCCCCCTCGGCAGCACTGCCTCTGCCCACCTGCCTTTAACAGACAACGGGGGCTGTTTCCCGGTCACACGGTGAGGGTTTCGTCTGTTTCAAGGTGTAAGGCTCCAACTTGAGGGACTTTTTGACAAGTCCCACCGTCTCCCCTCCTCGCAGCACCCCGAACTTGTATCCAGCCTGGCTCAGAGCCAGCTCTGCCTGGTGAGGCTGGAGGGAGCACCAGGGCCTGCTGTCAGCCTCCTGGCACTGGTGCACTGACGCTGTGCCTTGTCACCCACCCCGCTGCAAGAGGGACTGAGGGGGCCAAGCAGCCAGCCAGACGCCAGGCCCCGTGCTGGGGAGGACAATCCTGCAGAGCCTGGTTAGCTTTGCGAGGACGTGCATCCACGGTGACTCTGGTTTGTCTGAATCCACCTGGCCAGGGAGAACCCTTGGTGCCAGGCTCCTGCCCCCCAGAGTCCAGAGCCAGGAAGGGGCTGCTCACAACAAAGGCACTCCTGCCCGGGCTCTCTGCCATACCCCAGAGCCTCGGCTAGGCTTGGTGGCGTGGAGGCCCCCACCCCAGGGCAGCCAGGACTCTGCACCCACACGGCTACGTGCACAGGGGAGTGGCCAGGCCCCTAGACCAGACTCCAGCACACCTCCCATTGCCCTGGGCGGCCTCCCCTCCCAGGAGCAGCAGGTGTGGGAGTCAGCCACATGCTTCTCTCCACCCAGCTCACAGGGCGGCCTTAGGCAAGTCACACTGCCCTGTGCCTCGGTCATTCTCTGTCATCACAGGTCGCCTCTGCCTATCCAGGTCCTGGCGTCCAGAGCAAGGACGTACTGCCTCCCTGCTCCCCTCACACCTCCCTCAGCGCCAAGGCCACGACCACCCAACCACGTGTTCCACGTGATGTGCCTGTGGCCTCCCGGGGCTTATGTACAAGCCAGGCTTTTCCATTTTGATTTTTAAAAAAAGACACAAAACACTGCCAGGATCTCAGATTCTGTGGCATCTAAGGCCTGGGAGGAGGAGGACACAGGGGTCACCCAGCTCCTAACTGAGGCTCTGTGCCTGCCCTGGGCCATCTCAAGAGAAGCCATGAGGTGGGGGTCAGCTGGGAAGGCACTGTTCATTTCATTCGTCCAAAACCTCCTTAAGTTTTAAGTATGAATATTAATCTTGATGCTTTTTAACTATTGTATTAACTTGCTGAGATTTAGAAATACTGTTATAAAAAAGAAAAAACCCACTTTTTAAATTTCTGTATTTTTTTTCTGTATTGTATCCTCATGGAACATTAGGGGTTTTCTATGGTAAGCACACCCAAGGTTTTGGTAAACACATTATCAAATATATATCCAGATGACTCTTCCCTAGAAGAAAAACAATCTTTACACCTGATAAAATATTTTGAAAAGAGAGGTCTTTTGTTTTGTTTTGTTTTCCTTTATTGGTGCTGAAAGGAAGGATGGATACTGAGGTGAAAATAAAACTGTGAGGCTCAAGGCTGGCGTCCTCCACTTATTTGAGCTACAAGTGGGGTCTGGGCCCTGCTCTGGCTCCAGACTGCGGGGCTGGCAGCCTGGGGTGGGCCATGGGGGACTGCTGACGGCCAGATGGCCTTTCCTACCAGAAGGATACAGCCCAAGTGTGCCCTAAAATGCTAGGACACCAGGCCATTTGGGGTTCTCTTACTAGGTGTCTCCTATTTCCTCTGAGCTTTGGGACCTAAATGACAAAAAGGCACTTGTGTGGGAGAAACAAGGCCATGGCCTCCGGGGTTCTCTGGCCGTCCCTGTGAAGCAAGGCTGGGCTGGGCGGGGCTGGCTCTGCACTGTACCCATCTGCCCAGAGACTTCGGTGGGGTGGGAGTGGGGTTCTGACCCACGAGAAAGGGCTGCACAGGAACTACTTGGAGACAGCCCCTCCCTGTCATCTGAACACCAGCCTAGCGTCCAAGTCTGAATCCTGACAGGCCGCCAGCTGGTGCTACGCTGGGGCCAGAGCCCAGACGCCCATGACTGTGGCCTGGTGAAGTTATCCACGGGGCGAAAGGGCCGGAACACAGGACTCTCAGCCCCCACCCCGTCAAGCCTTCAAACCCCGGAGACCCAGCCACGACTCGGCATTTCCACCCCCCACAAGAACCTTCCTAGCTGGAGCCAGCCAGGCAGGGGTCTGGAGATTCCAGAGAGCGAGAAGGAAAGGCAGGCGCCTGCCACCGGCTCTGCCCGCCAAGAGCACAGCATGGCAGCCCTGCATGCGGCCCCAGCAAGACGCCTGAACTTCGTTCACTTCCAGGTAGGGCGGCAAACGTCACCGCCTCGGAGCTTCCTGAGCACCTCAGAACCACAACGGCGTGGGGAGGGAGGGTCTGGTCTCCCTGACCTCTCCAAGGCTCCAAATTTAGTTACCAGCCCATTTTGCCTGCCACATCTGGAGCTAGAAGTTGGCAGTGCAAAGATGCAAAAATGGAAGGGGTCTCCTCCATGCTCTGAAGCCGAGCAGGTCCCCAGAGAGAGAGTAGCACGTTACACCTTTCTTCCCCAGAAAGCCACGCACCATTCAGAGGCCGCAGCCTCGGGCCGCTTTATTTTTCAAGTGAGGGTCAGTCTGAGGTGTCTGTGAGCCTGAACTCCATGGTGATGTCTCCGGTGTGGGGGTGAAACTCCACAGCGTAGCTGACAGTCCGGGGACCGCCCGGCGGCACTCTGGGATCTGGTGTGGTGCTGAAGAAGTACACGGCCTGCTTGCAGTGGGGGTTCCAGTGGCAGTGCCCCTGTCGGGGAGCGGCAGGAAGACAGTGAGGGCTCCCTGGCAACTGGGCAGCCTCCAGCCCAGGCAGCTTGCAATGGGGAGAAGCTGCTCAGGGGCCAGGTGAGCCAGGGCCACCGGGAGGTTATCATCTGGCCTAAAGAATTTGTGACGGGAACACCCAGAGCACAAGCAGCAGAGTGGCCTCCCAAGTGGCACCTGCTCTCCGGGTCAGCACACGCTGGGGGCCTGGCGCACACAGCACTACCTTGTCTCCCACAGGCTCCAGGAGGCCGGTGCTGAGCGTGCTGCCGGGGGCCAGCTGGTACTCCATCCACAGGACGGCCCCGTGGCTCCTCCCAGGCCTGAGGGTGTTAGGCCAAACAGAAACAGTCACACAAGAGACGGGGGCACAGCCATGGCTCCCTTCTGCTTTCCAGAAACCCCTGGTCTTCCCTACTTCCTTCCCACACAGGAGCTCCAAACACTCCACCGAACACAGAAAAAGCTACAGGAGAATCAGCCCCTGAGGCTGAGGTCCAGAAGGCTCAAGCGCAGCCCTGGCTCCAAAGGCTGAAGACCCCTCCCAGCTACCCCAGATGGCAGCCCTGGGAGCTCCGGCTCCAGGCAGATGATGGCATTTGCCTGTGCTGCCTGCCCCTCGTCCAAAGAGCCCTGAGGGGCTCTGGGCTCATACCCCCCCTCCCCCTCAAGTTAAAAGAAGGTTCTTCCTCAGGGAAGACGCAATTCCTCTCCATGGAGGGAGCTGGAGCTGTGCCTCACCCGTTCCTAACCTGCTTTCATTCCCAGGAGAATTCGGGGAAATGGTCTAATAGGTAGCCATAGTAACCACGTTCACATGTCTCTGCAGCTGTGATCTGACAAGGGGGCCTCAGATGTGGGGCTGAGCATGGCCCACTCTGCTTTCCCTCCCCACTCCCGCATGCCCAGAGCTGTGGGAGCCACTACACACGTAGGGCCACTTCTGACAGGGACAGGCAAGGATGTGTCATCCGCCGCTTGTCAGCATCTCCCAGGCCAACTGTGCTTCACCACGTGGACAGTAACTCCTAGGCCACCCCCTTCCTGTGCCCCCCACGCTCTCCAGAGCCTACACTCACCTCCTCAGTTCCATGGCGCCCTCGGCACGCATGGGCTGCTGGGGGACCGGCTGCCGGAAATCAAAGGTCAGCATGTGCTGGGGCTCGGAGAGGCTGCGGCAGGGGTACTCCCACAGTGGCTGGGGCTCGGCCTCCTTGCTCTCTCTGAAGTCCAGGGCACGCTGAGAACAGAGATGGGGACTCAGGGTCTGCAGAGACAGAGCCAGCTGTCAGAGGGAAGAGGCCCTGCCGTGGCCCGGGTGTCCAGGGTAACTGCAGTCACGCAGGTCAGGGAGCGCTCACGGAAGGCTGAGCTTTGATCAGACCAGCGGGCTTCTCCCTTCCTGCTGCCTGTCAGCCAGCTCCTGGGCATCACTTCACCTCTTTCTCCCTTTT